TTGTGAAATAATCGAATACTTACTTTGAATTCCGTGAATTTCGCATTAAAACCCAATTTCTGCACTATCCTTGCATACTTTCGAGCAGCAAGTCTTAAATTATTCAACAAAATTACAATTCAAGTGGATTGGACTGTAAGATTCGTGAACCCTTTATAAAATAAGATTTTGTATCAACATTCATTGACAGTGGAAATTTTATCATCAATACAAAATATTCGATTTCCACGTAAACAAATTTGTGAATTTGGACAAAACCGTGAAATTATGGTGATCTTCAGATACCAACAGATAAAACAATGACAGTGAATCCATAAAATTGATGAACGATGGTGACGAAAACAATCTCAAATAAGAAATGATAATAACCACCTGCTGGCTTCCTCAGATTTGGCACCGGTGCACACCATTTTACCGGATGAGAATATCAGTGCAGTTGTTCTCGGTTCACGAATGCGCATAATTACGGCAGCGAACCGTTTCGGATTGTATTCGGCATTGCGTGCATGCAACGCTATCTTCTTCAGATCCAGTGCTACACCTGTGATCAATAACGATTCTTTGAACAATTCTTCACTCATCTTAACCTAAGAAATATCACAGCGAAACTAAAAACGCAATCTAAAAAAANTTTTGCTTCAACCACTAACAACCCGAAAAATAATAATAGTCGATGATTTTTATTTCAAAATTAGTGAACACAATGGCACTACAATTCCTTTTTTCCGGATTCATAAAATATTTCGGATTCGATACGCGATCCTTCCAATGGTTTTACCGCCAACGATGCACTGAACACGAAGGGAATCGGTGCATCGTTAATAACACCACATTAAAATAATCGCATGGAATGAAGAAGGTAGAATTCAAAAGAACAGAACAAACCTAAATTAACGGTCGAAACGATATTCTGCAATGCTGGCGATGGAACGTCGATGAGTTGTGAGGCTGGTGTTTGTGGTGCCATAGTGGCCACTGTTGGGATGTTCGAAGCCGGTTGAAAGTTCTCCCCGGCGAGCGGTGTCATTGGAACTGCCAAATTACCAGGTCCCACAGATGCCGGATTCATGTCCTAGATTCATTCATTTACAAATATCGAATAAATACACAAATATTTTACTGCTGGGATATCACCGACTAGACATCGCGAGAGAGAATTAGTTGAAATAAGGAATTAAATAAGATGAGTTACAAAATTTGGAGAATACACACAGAACACGCCCAGTATTGTATTAAATTTGTATGATAAACACATAAATGTTGAAATCTTATAATCTAGTAACGAATAAAGAAGAAAGCTTCATTAGCATAAATCGGACTATAAGCTAATAGATGAATAAAATCTCAATATATTAATGATGTATAAGTGTAAGCTAAGCAGAGAACGATTTGAACACGAAGTGCAATTCCTTACAACAACCTCACCGAACGACACTGAATGATTTCAGANGAACCTGGACCACTCTGGCTATTCAAAATTGAACCTTAAACGGAACCAAAAATGAAAATCACTCATCAAATTTGCATGCGATCAACAGTAATAATCTTCCGATGCAACAAGTTTGTACGAATTATGCATCAAGCATACGGTCACCACGTACACTCTGCAATAGTTTCAGGTGCATTCGATCTGTCCAAAGACAATATCTGACTCAAGAATCAGAAGCTACTGAAGATAATGCCGATGACTCAGAATCAGCTTTTAAATCTTCCAAAATGAACGCAAGGGAAATACTGTAAAATCAATGCGTAAGAAGAATTAATAAGTCACACTACCAAACCTCAATTATGAAACCTAATTATAAATTATGAAACAATCAAAAAAGCGATGTCAATCACTGAAGATAAACAATGCACGATGGGAAATAAACCGAAAAAAGTTCAGTAACAGATTAAATGGTTGTATCTCACTACCTGGTCCTCCCTGATGTCCAATCATACTACCAGCAAGTACCGAGCTCGGTCCAGCTGCACCCAACAAAGAAGACGGTC